GCATCTCTTCTTCCAGAGTATTTAATTTCATACAGTACTTTTCAAAGTACCACTAATCTAGTAATCACTAACCCTATTTTGCTGATGTCATTAAAGGACATACACCATCTGGAAAATAACTCTAATAATCTTCTCAAATATTACATTTTAAGGTTGTAAAGTTCTTCCACGAATGAATGGAATTACAGAATCACCGTTCATTTTTTAATCTAAATTGTTTTGACATGATGGTGCTTGCAATACTTAATTTGTACAAAATAGCAATAAATTCCCCTAATTCTACCTCTTTCATTCCTTGCTGTGGTGATTTTTCCGCTTTTAATTCTACTTTGCCATCCCATTGCCCCTAAAAAGGTACATTGGGATATTCATCACTATTATTTACAAAACTGTATATGAATATATATATGTATATATAAACTGTATATGGCAGTAAACACTTCTCTGCCAAGTAAAGTTCTGTCAGAAGAAACAGCTAGGTAGATCACAGAACCACAGAACAGTTTGTGTTGGAACGGACCTTAAAGATCGTATAAGTCCAAAGCCCATCTTGGGCAGAGACACCTTCCACTAGATCAGGTTGCTCAGAGCTCATCCAATGGTATGTTCTTAGAACATGGGACGTGATAATGGAATTTAGTGATGTTTTAAATGACAACCAAAAAAAAAAAAGCAAACCCAACGACATTACCAGACGCAACAACAGTGGACACCTTTAAAGGACCAAACCATGCCTGAGCATTCTGCCCAGTGAACAGACAGCCAGAAGACACAGATTGAAGAGAATAAGGGATCTCCTTTGATATTCTTGTGAAACCTTTGCACCAATGCAGTTCCAGCACCACAAACTCAAAAGCTGCATTCTTCTATAAACCACGAAATGAAGCTCACCCTATGTGAATGGTGTGCTGCAAGGACTCCAAAATTCTTTCAACTGCAGGATGGAAAGAACATAAAGATTCTTGCATACTTTGGATATCTGTGAGACACTATGTGTTCATGGAGCACTCAATTCTTCTGACCAGACAAAGGTAAATGAACACTGCCTGTTGTCCAGCTATGCACAAATAGATACTGTTGAGACCACCATCATAAACCAGACCTGGATTTCACCTTCATTTCTCTTTAATTTTTTTCTTCTTCTCTCCTTTTTTTTTTCTTTTTTTTTTTTTCTTTTTTTTGCTGATGGTAAGACAGAAGAAACACACGGGACAGTAGTGAGACAGTAATTCTCAGTGTTGACTTTCAATGTTGGATGCACACCGCTAAACCAGAAGTTACCAAGACAATGTGAGACTGCTAATCATTGTCTCTTATTCTTATTGACCTCCAATCAGACAGACCTACATCATCCTCTTCCATCCACAAAGCTAAACAGACACATTGGAAGAAATTGTGTACAAGTACAGGATTAGCAACTGAAGTCACACTCAGAAAGCTGGCTGAAAAAACCATTCCTTTCACTTGAAAATTAACTCAGCTACCAACCTATCAGCACTTGCCTTGAAATTCCTTCAGAGAGAATTTACACCCTGAACATTGAACAGACTTTCAAGCACAATTCTTGGGCAATTTTTTTTGTCTCCCTTTTTCCCAACAGAAAGAAAAACCTCAAGAAAGTCTTGACTGGATCCAGCACAGTCATAGCATCAGGATAGTAAGATGCTGAAACCTGTAAGGTGTTGCAAGCTACTCAACCTACTGCAACCTACATTCAAAATTAATCCACAAATCTTAAAAAAGCACCTTCTAGGTATAAGACACCATCTGTAACTACTGAGACCTTTTGTTATGAGTTGATGCCACACACTTTTGACACCTGAACCACAGGAACTGAGGTTTCAAATCTGGATCTAGATATCTAGAAGTGTACATTTCACAGTCAAAAGTTAACTGTACATACACAGTTAGAAGTTAATTTCTCAAATCCCTAGTTTATGTAGCATGAGATGTCAGAAGATGAAGAACCTCCTAAGTCAGTTAAAGGTGACAGAAAAATTTTCAAAAGGAGGGAAACAACTGGAGTGTATGAGATTCATTGAAATGCTATCAATGCAGGGACAGGGCATCAGGTAGAAAGAGGTCAGAAGTTTCTCAAAGGTTGAAGAAAAGGGCTTCACAGGCAACTATTCAAAAATGGTTCTCATCTAGCAGAAGACACTGAAGAGATGTATAAAGTCAAGTTTACTTAGCAAGCCAGATTATGCAGTACTAGCTGGTATCATTATGGTTTCTTGAGTAGATTTTCAAATTACACAGACAATTCTTTAAGAAACACAGAGATACAGAAAAGTAGAAATACTGTGATTTCAAAGCACCGCAAAGTGTTTCTATAGACAATCTCCCAGCTAGACAAGTTAAGAAGGCCAAAGTCAGCATCAGCATCTGTCTTCAATTAGAGAGCCACAAATGACATATTGCTCAGTGACAAATGATGACTGCTGTCTTATATTAAGATGGTTGCTCTAGCAGATGTTTTCAAATTATCCCAAGCTATGTCACAGGCAAAGGCAAAAGAACTGGAGATATGCCCAGGGAGACCTGGTGCACCAGTAGCCTAAGGGAACCATTTAAAAAGCCATTTGGTATCCTCTCATGAGATCATAGCTACAAAAAGTGAATACAGAAAGGAAAAGGGGAACAGAAAATATGTTATATTCCTCAGTGAAAGTTTTAAGTATCTGACTACAGGATTATATGGAATAAAAAGTGTTCACTTCATCTCAGCTTTGACAGAGACACAGTCTAGGCAGACAATTCTTCAAAGAAGAGAAAGGAAAAAAAAAACCACCACCACAATTACCCCAGAAAGAGGTGCTCCATATTACTGCTCTGTGATGACAGAGTTAGGGCAAAAGAAACTCTTTTTACCCTGGACATTGCCAAACAGTAACACTGGTATCACATATCACATGCTGACTCAAAAAATAAAATTCAGCCTTGCTCCGTGCTGATAAGAGGTAGACTGCTTTGACTGCTACAAAATATCTGGGGCTCCAAAAAGACAAATAACAGAGAAAAAGGAGATGAACACACTTTCATCTGAAGTAGACTAATGAGTAAGGTTCTGTCAGCTATTACATACAGTTAGAGACAAGACCAGTCTTCAAATCAAAAACTTGACGGGGAAAACAAGTTATTTCTCAAACTCACACAGATATAGAAACACTTAAATATGATGTAAGCAGAAGGGAGGATTAGAGCAGGGAGAAACACAGAGGCTGGGATCATCCAGCGTAGCATCATTCTTGAGAGCACCTCTCTGGAAGCATGATGCAACAGTAAAAGCACACCCCAGGAGACAAAATACCCACTAAGAGGAAGGTGCCAATGAATGCTGCTACAAGTTAAGGAATGGGTGGGTGTCTAGTCTTGACCTATGGTGAGGGAAAAATCCTTACTCTCTCTCTTTCTCTCTCTCGTTACCATGGAGATCCCCTTTTCAGGTTTCTTTGGAGGAGCTTTGTGCACAAGTGCAAAATTTGGCATAAGAGGAGAACAAGCAATAATTATGTGCCCCTGACAAAAATAGCTTTCTTGAATCTTGAGAGATAATACAAAAGAGGCAGTAAAAATTAAGTTTGGTTAGAGGTGAAGGGCTGAATAAACTATCTCGCATTAAAGTGCCTTGAGCTCCCATCTGCTTAAAACGGCAATGCCATTCTGAGGCCATTGCATCTGTCTATTTCAATTTGGTGAAAATTTGAGTTACTGGATGGTGTGAGATCAAGGTGAAAATTAAAATGAAAAAATTCCACAAAGACTACTTACTACTGTTCCTTGGTACAGGATTACCTTTACTTATTATACTATTTTATGAATTATTCATGCAGTTCTTTTTGTATTTTCAGGTGGCAACATCACTAGCCAGAACTGCACTGAAATACACCACCTTTATAGAAGGAACAACATTGCAAAGTTTAACACAAACAGATTACATTGATATGCTTCTGAGTGTTAATCCCACAAGAGATAGACCAGAATGAGACTTGAATTAAACAAGGATATTTAACATGTACAGTTCTGATGAAGAACAAAAAAAGAAAACTTTAATTCAGGAGAAGGTATAAGGGAACACTACTGCACCCTTTAAACTACTTGATAAGTTCTCTAACAAACAGCATATTTTGCTCCCATATGTTTTAAATATTTCATACTAATTTAAGTAGTTACCTAATTTAAACACCTAATTTAGTTACTTAATTTAAATAGTGAGCTGAAATACACAGTATCAGACAGACAAGTAAGCTATACAGAAGAAAGCAAGGAATGGTGTTGTTGCCATTAACTATTCTTATTTTCCTGTAATCATCACTATCAACAGCAGTTTTATCTTCAAATATATATCCTGTTTATCTTTGAACATGCAGCCTTTAGACTTTTGGATCCCTTGAATCAGTTTACTGCTTAAACTCGTAGTCTTTTATGAGAGGGGAAATACCTTAAATTTATACACCGGACCCACACAGGAGTAGAAATTAGTGTTGCCTTTTTAAAGGTACATTAACACTGAAATACAATCCAATACAAACAGCTGAGCATACACCATGCCTACAAGCACACCTACCTTTCCCTTTTAAGTAGTCTATAAGTTAAGCAACTACTTTTTTATATATATAATCAACTTCATATGCTGTCCACTACATTTCTCACCATTTTTGCTTGTGTTATTATTCTTTTTACAAAAATCTTTCTGTCTTTACAGCGTATTTAGGCACCTCTGACAAGTGTAGAAAACAACATGAATGAGACGGGATTATCCAAAAATCAATCACGTGTGAAAACAAAGTGCTTAAATATTAATTACTAAATATTTTTTTTTCTCTGAGATCAAATAAAAGCATCAGCCTCCTTCAGAAACAAGCACTATGTAGCCGTTTCCTTGCCGGCATCCGGAGCCGGGTTTAGTAACAGAAAAAAAGAAAAAAAAAAAAAAAAAAAAAAAGCCGTAATTACATAACGGACCTCGCTAAATGCCATGTTTGCCCGGCGGACGGGGAATGGGGGGACAGCGGCGTCCCATCCCACCCCGCTCCGGCACCCGCTCGGCGGGAGCGCAGCGGCACCGCTCCCGCTGCTCGGGAAGGGATGGGCACCGACACGGCCGAGAAAGGCCTGCCCTGCCCGGGGGGCGCTTTAACCTCCGCCCCGGGGGCTGCCCGGGCGCTCACCGGAGCTGTCCGCCGCTAAACGCCCACACCTGTCCGCCAGGGCCGCTGCTGGCCCGAGGAGGGGGGAGCGCCTACCCCGCCCGACCTCCCCTTCCCGGCAGCGGGGGCGCTCCGCTGCCCGAGGGGCCCGGGAGCGCAGGCTCCTCAGCACCGCCTCCCTCCCGTCCCCTGCCGGCTAGAAGCGCTCTCCCAGGCACCCGCGCCTCTGGGCACGGGAGTCTAGATTGGGGTCCGGGCAAGCCCCGCCGGACGCGGTCCCCTCGGCGGGGCTGCGCGGTGCGGGACCTCTCGGTTCCACGGAAATCCCGCACCACTCAGGCTTCGCCGCGGGGGGAGGCAAATATCCACCCGGCTGCTCTCGTCCTGACGGGGAGGGGCGCGGGACAAACTCTGCCCGAACGACTGCCGACAACTAGTTATGGAGCCAGCGCTCCATATGGACTGCGGGAACGGCGGGGCAGGACCCGGGACAGCGGATCCTCCCGCGTCGCTCGCCCGCAAGGCTCCCCGCGGAAGGGGGCGCCCCCCGGGGCAAAGAAGGAGGATGGCAGTCCGCGGCGGCTGGCAGAGCCCCGGCGGAGGGGGAATAGAGCCCCGCAACGCAAGGCCAGCTAGGAATTACTCATTTGAATGATGCAGCAAGCGGGGAGGGGGACACAGTACGGGAACGCGGGGACAACGACTAGTCCTCCCATTGCCACTCTCCAGCCCCGATTAATAAATAATGCCCAGTTTCCCTGCCGGAGGAAGCGCTCTTCTCTTCGGCGCAGACAGTAATTAATCGCCAACCTCCATCCCGCGAACCCCTGGTTAAGCGCTCCCGCACGCTCGCACCCGCGGTGCCAAGTGCGAGCAGCACAACAGCGGGGAACCTCTGTGCCTCGCAGAGTCGGAGGAAGGGAAGGGGGGGCCGGGGAAGCCAAACCTCTCGCGGCAAAACCCGATCCCCCGAGACGCCGAGTGCCGGGGAGCGGCGGCCGCGGCAGCCGCCGGCGCGGCGGGAGGGCAGGCGGGCGGGCGAGCCCGGCAGGCTGCCCGGCGAGCGGAGGGCGTAGCGCTCAGCACGCCTCCGAGCACCATCACCCCTCGGTACCGTCAGCAATCAGCACGCCCGCATTTACCTTTTCCTGCCTGCCGTCCGTCAGTCAGGCGTTTGAGGGAGAGAAGGAGAAAGGGAAGGAAGGGAGAAGAAAGAGACAGGGAAATACAGAGAGCGAGACGTGGCTGCTAATCCCCGTGTAGAAAGACTTCCAGCAGCAGAAGCAGCAGCAGCAGCAGCATGCGTGTGTGCGTGCCCGGAGTGAAGCACAGCCCTCCTGGCGATGCACCGGCGCGGGCACCCAAGTACTGTCATGTGCGTGTCTCGGTGTGTGTACCCATGGCAAAAAAAAAAAAAAAAGAAAAAAAGAAGGAAAAAAAGAAAAAGAGAGACGGGGGGAGACTCGTCAGTCACACGCCCGGCTGTGCACTGCTGGGGGGGATGAGGAGGAGGAGCCCAGCACTCCCCAACCCAACCACCGGAGGAGCAGCTCGCTACTACGGCGGCGGCCGGGCTGCCCCTCGGCGCCAGCCCCGCACGCCCGACCGCCCTTCCCGCCCGCTCCCAAGGACGTGCCTTCGGGAAAGACCCTCAGGGCCTCCGTCCCAGGGGACCCTACTGTACCCCGGCTACCAGCGCCCGGCAGGAAGCAGCTGGAAAAAAACAACCTACCCCCATGTTTCTGCCCATACAGTGCCACCCGGAGAGCGGCCCTGGGCAGCGGGGATGCCCCGCGTGGGACGGGGATGCGGCGCCCCCACCCAGGGCTCACAGCCGCGCCGGGGAGCGCGGGGGGAGCGGGAGCGGGGGACGCGGCGTTTCCCGAGGGTGCTACTGCAGCCAGAGGCGGGGGCGCGACAGGTGGACCCCCCAAAGCACGCGGGTCCCCGCTGTCCGAGCTTGGGGGCGCCCGGCTGCACGGCCCTGGGTCGAGGGGCGGCTGGAACTGCGGAGCGTGAGCTGGGCGTTTGTTAGAGCTGTAGGTACAGCTACAAATATTTGTGTTAGCATTATAGAAAGTGAAAACGCAGTGAAAGGCTGTGCTCATCCAGGCCACTGTGAGGGCACCCTGATACTCGCGTGTCCAATCAGGTACACTCAAATTTCCACCACGGTTTATGACCTAGTAAAAGGTGTTTCGACATTGATTGAAATCAATTCTTTGCTAAGTAGTAAATATTATAGCCATCTTTTGACTGTATAGCCGCATATATGCATATAAATGAGATTTTGACATAAAATTTATGAAAGAGCTAAGACCGAATGTTCAGATTAATCTTATAGTCCTAAATTTACTAGCCAGCAAGTTTCAAGATGTGATTTCTTTCAGGCCCAAACCAGGAAAAGTTTGCGAGGAATGTACTTGATATTTTATTCTTTGTACCCAACAAGTAATACATATGGACTAAAAGCTAATATTAGTCATAGAAAAAGGTTTATTAAATGACAAGCATGAAAAAAAAATTGGTGTCATATGGTATACTGTTTATACTAATGTTTTGTTTGTAGTGGACTATATAGACCTAATGTCTTAGGAGTAAAACAAGGAGGAAAGGATGAAATGTTGTTGACATTTTTAATTAAAAATAGAGGTATCTACAGGCTGGGTAGGATAGGAAATTCTGACACCTGATAACTCTGTTAATTATCAAGCGGTCAACTTGCTGACTGGGGAAAAAAATTGGCCAATCTATTTAAAAATACTTGTTTGTTTGTTTGTTTTTAGTTGTAGATGTAGATGATGTAGAGGGGAAATAACTGAAAAGATTGTCGATTCTAGGATTTAGATGTTGACAATAAAATGCTTTGGGACTTCCCAGAAGTCCTGCACTAAAATGAAAAAGACTAAATTTGTTGTTAATAAGTTGTATAAATCAAGTCACCGTAACATTGTTAAAAAACCAAATTGCACCCCAAAGCCATATCATTTGTTTGTTTGTTCATATAAAATAAAAGTACACATACCGTCTTAATTGTTTAACTGAAACACAGATCCTGAATCTGACGTAACTCAGGTAAATAAGCGAAATAGTAAAGGGTTCATTGTTTTATTTTGATGTATATACAGCACTATCCTATGTCGTATATTACTTTATCACTTAGCAAGAATTTTTTGACTTGTCATCATGAACTGAATTTTCAAACCAGTTTCAAATCTGACATTATCTGTTGTTTAAAATACGATGGTCTGCAAGGATCTCAGAGTTGAATTTGTGTAATGTTTCCTATATAATTATGTGAAGATTTAGCCTGCCTCTCGTAGGCCTACGAATTTATAAAGCAGATTTATTCATTTTATATGTGATAGTTCTATGAGAGTATTTATACCAAACAGGTTGATTACATTAGTTAGTAGTCATTAGTAGCTAGTCATGAAAACAGGTAAGATATTTTTAGCCTTCATCCAAACTTCCAGAAAATGAAGTAGGCGCAATTTCCTTTGAAGACTGAAGAGTAAGAAGAAAGAGGACGTATTTGTGCATGAAATGATCTGACCTCAAAATAAAAGCCAGCAAGGTAATTTTTGTTTCTTTTTTTTTACTCGCATTCCCTACTGTGAATGTAAACCGTTCAATCAGTTTTCTGGATTCTCCTTGCTTGCCTGACTTTGGTCTGGCTGGGCCAAGGGAATGGGAAAAGGAAGTCTTGCTGTAAATTCTCACTTGATAGTTCTAGAGGAATCTGCAGCCTGGAGAAATAAGTTCAAGCTGCTTTACATAATGATGTAGATGGTCTTTGTGAGGCACTAACTATTCCAATTTTAGGCATAACACTTGACTGTGCTGGTAGTCCTAATACTCATGGGTGTCTCAGAAGATGTGCAAATTGGAGGGATGATTTCCAAGGTGGGATGTAAGATTCTTCACCTGGCTGTGGGAGAGATGGCACACATGAACAAAACTGAGAAGTGGCTGTGAAGCAGAGGGTTTCAGGAAGGACAGTAAGCGGATGTATGTGAGTAAGAAACAAATGAAGAAAGCAATGCTTGGAAGAAAAATATTCCAAAATAGTTTTTAGATCAGAAAAGTAGGATTCTGAAAGAAAACATTTAAATGGCTTGGGGAAGTGAGATAGTTCAGTATGAATATCTTCAACCATCTGCTGTTTATCAAATGACCCCAAATGCAAAAGACCTTATTATATGCTATATTCACACTTTGATCTCTTTCTTCTTGGAGGAAGTTCTCTTTGCTTTGACTGATGGTGAAAGAGGTCATCATATCGACTGTTGTTACTACATAATTAATCTGTATGCACACTTATATGAATTCTTTCCATATGCTGCTATTTACCACATCACAAATCTTTCAGTTTGAAAATACAGTGAGTTTTTGTGTATCGCTGCCCTCTACTGGAGAGAAGGTCAAAACTGCTCCATCAGGTCTCAGTCCAAAGCCTTAGAGCCGAGGCTGTTGCTAGTGGTCCTTTTTTGTTGGTAAATCACCTTTCCATGACCGAGGCGTAAAGGTGTGGAGATCTAGATGGCCAGCATCCATAAAAAGATTTCTTTTTGTCTGTGAGTTCAAATAAATGATCATACAATTTTATGTCTGAAGTTTATTGACACAGGCAAAATGATGACTAAGCAATGGTTGAGATTTTAAGATGTATGTCTTCCACTACCTTCTGGAAAAGAGGCATCTAAATTCAACATAGAGATGCTGAAAATTCTGAGCAGTGCTGCTCTGAAAAGTATTTGCCTATAACTTTATATATAACCTCATCACTTTTCATATCTAAATACTTTGGTTCACTCTCCACTGCATTACAAAAAGATTGCCCTCCAGCCCTTTTCCTATCTGACCTTTCATGCCTCTATATTTACCTTTCACCATCTATATAAATACTGCCAGAGTACCACATTTATTTTACATTTTATTTTCATTTTTCTTCCAGACTGGACATTAGCAGAACAACAGAAACATGAAGAGCACAGCAGTGATATTCTCCCAGTTCCTCAGTGTTTCATTCTCTCCACCTACTGTCACGACAACCTATGCACATCCAAAGCAGTTTCTGTTGGAATGCACTGAGTTTTCCAGCTGTCTGAGCACATGCATCGCCAAGGCATGCTGAGAGCTGTGAAGGATGAGGCCTGCTCAGAGCATGCAGGAAAGAAAGTTTCACTATCACGTTCAAAATATGTCTTCTACACAGTAGATACTACCAATTTCTGTGTTCATTTTTAACTTTGTCACATCTGTGTCAGATTTACAAAGATGGAGATCAGATGTGTGCACTTGTCATTCCCTCATGGCATCAGCTATTGCTGCAAGGCAAGAAGGTATTCTGAGTTTGGCTGTAAGGGTAGAATCACTGAATCACAGAATTATTTAGGTTGAAAAAAACTTCTGAGTTCATCAAGTCCAACCTTTAACTGATCACCACCTTGTCAACTAGAACATGGTATTAAGTGCCAAGGCCAGTCATTTCTTGAACACCTCCAGGGATGGTGAATCCACCACCTCCCTGGGCAGTCTATTCCAATGTTTAACAACCCTTTCTATGAAGAAATCGCTCCTGATGTTCAACCTGAATCTCCCCTTGTGCACCTTAGGCTGTGTCCTCTCATCCT